TAAAATTGATGATTACCAATTGGTGAAAATGCTTTTACCTGGGGATGATTCTGGAGAGTGAACACTTATCTCGTGTGTAGCCTTGTTATAACTTCTTCAGACTCTCATTAAGTTTATCCTTCTGTAAGGTTACTAATCCTTCTGTAAGGTTACTGATCAAGGTTACTAACGATCTAAACCAGGTCTGAGGTAACATTCCCTGTATATATATCCACCAAGCTGTTCAAATAATTCTACCCTTGATTCTTGCAAATTCCAATGCCAGCGAGACATTGAGTTAATCCTAAAGTAACTGGAATATAGGGAGGTATGGGAGTTTGAACTCAGCCCCCTGAGTTTGCTAGACAGACTTTATATCACTTGAGCAATGCCTGAAGCCTTATTAGTAATTTTTCATTTTCATGAAGTGTCAACATACAAAATTATCTTTACTATCTTAAATGACTTTCTAACTTTTAAAGGTTCTTGTGCTATTTGTTTTACTATTTTCTACCCCTAGAGCTAAGGATCAACTCTCCAATGTCTAATACAGGCTAAACATGCATTCTAACACTAAGCTTCACTCTAAGCCCTAAACACATTTGAATATTTGATGCACACCTGTTAGAGATAGAAAGGTCTACTAGAATTAAGTTCTGCAGCTATTTGAGGGCTAGCTATCTCTCTTCTGACTGGTCTCTAAATAATGTGTTTAGTATTTCCAAAATCTATAGTCAAGATTGAAGTACAGATGGACATTTGTCCCAGCATGCTAGAAAGTAAGCAAATCAGGTTTTTCAATAGATTTATCTATTCAAAATGATACATTTTTTTTCCAGGAATTAACGAGGTTTCTATTTGACCCTAAGCATGAGATCAATGGCACCAAAGTGGAACCTTTTTTTTTCTTTTTTTCTTTTTTTTGAGAATTTAAAGGAATGAGCCCTGAATTTCTCCTCTTGAGAAGATCCTGTGTAGATCAATTTCCACAAAGGATGGGCAAGGGCAAATCAATCCTATGAAAGTTGTGTGTTTTCAACTTCAAGTACATGGAAATTATTTTCTATGAACTTACTGTTTCTAGTATTAGATGGTATGTATTAATAACCAGAGGTAAAATGATACAGTGTTTGGTATAATAGCTCTAAAATATGAAATAAATTATTTTGGTATTTCTTTGATTAAAGATGCTAATGTCATTTTCAGATAATATTAAAGGAAAGCAAATACGGAAAAATTGACAGTTGCAGACATTTTAAACCTGACCTGGTAGGAGAAAGAGACAAACCAGAGACAATTTGAGTGCCAGTGTAGAATAAAGAATTGTGTGCTGCTGAACTGAAAAAAAACTGTTTCCTAAAGTGTTTTAAAGATAACTGCAGTGTGATTCATCAGTAACTATTTTGCCCATGTAGCATTTAGTTACAATTCTGCATTGTGCAGCTTCTGAGGGAAAATCCAAATTGAAGGTATGATGCTTGAGTTACTTTTTTCTATTTTTTCTTTCTTTCTTTCTGTCTGTCTGTGTGCATGCACGTATACACACACATACACACATATGCGCTAGTCCTGGGACTTGAATACAGGGACTGGACACTGTCCCTGACCTTCTATGCTCAAGGTCAGTGCTCTACCATTTGAGCCCAGCTCCATTTCAGACTTTTTTGGTAACTAATTGGAGAAAAGAGTCTCATGGACTTTCCTATCCCAACTGGCTTTGAACCCCAGTTCTCAGATCTCAGCCTCCTAAGTAGCTAGGACTACAGACGTGAGCCACCGACACCCAGTTCGAGTTTCTTTTTGACTATAAGCTTGAGATCAATGTTTGTATAAGTAAAAGACTTCTCTTTCATGATGGACTTCTATATTTTCCCCTGATGGTTCTTACAGAATCTGACAAAAAGCTCTGTGATTACATCTTTGCTCTTTAGAATCAGACATGGAGTTTGGCACATATTAAATCGGTAGTAGATGTTTATGGAATGAAGGATTGAAGAAATGACAAGAAAATCAGATTCAGGACTTCAGTTCAAGTCTTCAGTTACACTTTTTTTTTTTTTATTCCTATCATGTAAATGGCTCCTGGTTAGGTACAAAGTAAGTCTTGATTTTTACTCTGAATAAGTTCAGATTCCAACTGGATAGAGAGGATGTTTGTAATATAGTAATGAAAACATTACTACATTGGCTGATAATAATAGCCATGATTTTGCCTGCCTCTCCCAGTACATGCTGTATACTTACAGTAAACTATAGGCTAAGCATAATTACCCCCGCCTCGTATACATGAAGAAGCTGGGCTTCAGGAAGACAGTGCAAGTTGTGATTTGGCAAGGCTTCCAGATTGGAATACTTTTGGCTTGAATAGTCGATAGAGTGGTGCCAGTGAAATGGCTAGCTCGGTCATGGCAGCTTCACGGGAATAAGAAAAATTTGAATCAATTTGTTTATCCAAAATATATTTGACACCAGATAGGCTGGTCTCAAATTCACAATCATCCTCATGTTTCAGTCTCCTGATTGCAAGTTTTATTTGTATGTACGTCCGTATCAGGCCTCAGTGAACTTTCTTTTTTCCCTACCAGTTCTGGGGCTTGAACTCAGGGCCTGGGCACTGCCCCTGAGCTTCTTTTGTTCAACGCTGGCACTCTACCCTTGAGCCACAGTGCCACTTCCAGCTTTTTATGTTCATGTGGTACTGAGGAACTGAACCCATGGCTTCATGCATGTGAAGCAAGCACGCTACCACTAAGCTATATTTCCAGCCCTCAGTGAACTTTTAAGTAGAAAAAGGACTCTTCCAGTGGCAGCTGTTTGGGAAAGCAATCTGGCATTGTTTAGGTAATAAACCACTACTCTGTCATTCAGCAGTTTCTATTTCTACAGCAAGTCACAAGAATGTATTCCTTAGGTTCCCAAGAGAATGTCTAAGGCTATTCCTTGCTATGTTGTTAGTGATGGGATCGGGGATGGAAAGTAAGTGATTGAACACCTTTGGGAGAGAAAGAGCATAGACAGGCACACTTCATGAAGTTGTCTACAGCAGCAGCTATGGTTCAAGTGTGGATTTGAAAAACAACCGAGTATGAAATATGTAAATAACAAATTGTTTATTTGAGTTAAAACTTCTTAAACCTAGCTGGGCTGGGTGGCATTCACTGATAGTCCCAGCTACTTGGGAAACTGAGGTAGGAGGAGCCATTGAGTCCCAAACTTCAAGACCAGCCTGTGCCCATTTTGTCCTTTGGATAATAGAGATTATAATAATAATCAGTCTTTACAAAAGTAGTATGTATAATGTTAAGTATATAGTTGTAAACTGATACTCAAAATATCTTTTTCATTCTTCATAGATTTAGAAAGTGCTTAATATCCTATTGTATACAGAACTAGTTGTTTTGTATAGGTCATTCTTTTTTCTTTTTTTCTACTATCTTTAGTTGTACAGAGGAGTTGCCATTTAATAAAGTAGTTTATAAATATATAAAGGCTCTACGTGGATGAATATTTTGGAGTGACAGACACATCTTCTTTTATAGTTTGCCAAATTAACTGTAAAGTATAATACATCACCTATTTTTGGAGATGATGGGGCTTAAAAACAATGCAAAGTTATGTTTATAATTTATAATTTATTAGCTATTCTATTCTTGTTCTGCTTGTTAGAAGTTTAGGATGGGGGGACAGAGCTTCTGGAGGTCTTGTGGGAGAATCCATTTATGTTTTCTCAAGTTATGCCTTGGTCAGTCATCATATTGAATAGATTGCTTCCATTTACATTCCCTTTCTACCATTTGAAATTTGAAAGGATAGTTGTGAAAAGATTAAAATATATAGTACATTTTTTAAAGAAAAAAGCTATCCTTGTACTTTTAAAAAACCAATCAGAATGATTAAAAATTCAATTCAAAATGAAAGTACTCATCTAGTATACTTGTAGAGACGCTGCTACTATTTGGTACGCAAATGCTGCTATGACAAGAGGGTCACCAATTATTTTAATGATAGGTAAGAGAAGCTGGAGCAAAATTGATTACATCCTTAGTGATCCCAGGATCTGCCTGTCTTTGAGGGGTATGTAGACCAGAGTTTCAGGTTCGACTGTAAAATGCAGAAGAAGGCCTAGTTTGGGGGTACAAGTCTTGTCCACTCTTATGTCCAATGAAATGTGTACTGCTGTGTTTTGTCTATGTCAACAATTGAAATAGCAAGGCAAGGATAATGATCTAGCAGAAGAAATACAAATTTAGAGGATATGCAAGTGGTGAAAATATGAGTCATAATGGAATTGTGCAATTTAATTTCCTCATGTACAAAATGAGTAACAATAATGCCTGCTTCATCTCAGAATATAAGGATCACGTTTTATGATTTTTTAGTGTCATATGATATATCAGTATGTATGTGTTTTAATTCATTCTTGGAAATGCACTGCTTTTTACAGTACATGAAACTAAGTATGATGAATAAGACCAAATAATGTCTTAACTGATGATTATATCCTTTAAAAATTGACTTAAGAGATTTGGATTTTTAAACATCTCATTGAGATTTTGTTAAATTTTCTCTTTTTCTCTACTTCCTTCTTCCTTCCCTCCCTCCTTCCTTCCTTCATTCTCTTCCCCTTCTCTCTCCTTCCCTCCTCCTCCTTTCCTTTTTCTTCCTTCCCCCTTCCCTCCTTTCCTCCTTCCCTCCCTCCCTTCCCTTCCCTTCCTTCCTTCCTTCCTTGCTTCCTTCCTTCCTTCCTTCCATCTTTCCACCTTTCTTTCTTTTTCCTTCAGTTGGTCATGGGGCTTGAACTCTGGGCCCGAGCACTGTTCTCGAACTCTTCAGCTCAAGGCAAGTGCTATACCACTTGAGCCACAGCACTACTTTGGTTTTCTGGTGGTTTATTGGAGATAAGAATCTCACAGACTTTCCTGTCCGGGCTGGCTTTGAACCTTGATCCTCAGACATCAGCCTCCTGAGTAGCTAGGATTACAGGTGTGAGCCACTGGCATCCAGCTTTTCCATCTTTCTTAGTATAGAACCTTCCCTGATGGTGCTATAATACCATGTCAATGTACGGTATGGAGGGAGCAATCTCCTGTATCACACCCTGTTCCAAAAATCCATTTAACATAATTTTATGTCCTAAGATCAAGGATATTACATTTCTAGGAATAAATATTATACTTTTTCTTAGCCAAAATGCTGAGAAATAATAGGCTTAATGTTTAATTTCTTTTTTTCTGATGGTGGAGATCTTAGATATACTAGACAAGTGTTCTAACAATAAGCTACATTGCTAGCCCATAATTTTAATATTATTAAACATTAAGTATGTGAGGAAATGACTTTCTTAGCCTTGTAAGCCTAACAGAGCAGTCACATATGCAATAATTAGCATCTCTTTTCATTTCCATTCGTTATTAAGTAGAGATCTTCTTAAGGTTTCTATTGAGTCAGCCTGCCTGCCTGCCTGCCTGCCTTCCTTCCTTCCTTCCTTCCTTCCTGCCTGCCTGCCTGCCTGCCTGCCTTCCTTCCTTCCTTCCTTCCTTCCTTCCTTCCTTCCTTCCTTCCTTCCTTCCTTCCTTCCTTCCTTCCTTCCTTCCTTCCTTCCTCCCTCCCTCCCTCCCTCCCTCCCTCCCTCCCTTCCTTCCTTTCTTCTTTTCTTTTCTTTCTTAATATGTATGACTGATGAGCCTAAAGTTCTTGAGGTATGTGAAAAAATCTGAGTAATGAGCTATTCTCTGAGTTGAAATAGTTATACTAAGTCTGTTATTCAAAATGTATATGCTCTTGATAGAATTACTATTATGGCATTTCTTCCTGATACAATTTCCCTCTGCATAAAGATTCTCCATGCTCTAAGCGCTAACATGGTTTATTAGTCAAAGTTAGTACATACATAGTGCTTTGCAGAACCTCTCAGTGACTGGGTTTAAGTTGTGAGTTTGCCCAGAAGTTGAAGATTCTGGAGGTATGAGTAAATACCTAGTGCTTATTTATGTGGGTTCTTGAAGAACCTTTTTATCTGTCAGTGAACACTGTGTACCCAAGTTAGAAATCTGAGTCATTAATGAGACCCTTCTCCTTTTTCATCTAATGAGGTACAATTCCTTCCCATTCTAGTCCACAAATGTCTTTTCAATCCAGCCTTTCTTTCCAATTCTCTGTCATTGCTTTAGTTCTGGACTTTTTCATCTGTCCTCTGAACTATTAAACTAGTTGCCCAAATTATCTCCTTGCTTCCATAGTAAGATCTTTCAGTAGACCTCTGGTCTTGTGTTTCATTTTCTACAAAACAAAGATAGGATGTCATTTCTTGGTTAAAACTCATTAAAAAATAGGATAAAGTCCAAACTTATTAGGGTTGTGCAGAAAATCTTTTGCCATCTTAAACTAATACAGCTCACCATTTTCCCTTTGTTTATATAAAATAACTGACCTCTATGCTACACTTTTCTAACTGTGTGCCTTTGCATTCTTCCGTGTGATTTTATTTTTCAATTTTTCGCATTTAGGTTTAGGGCTAAGGTTACAGTCAGGTTCAGGGCTTGGTCAGAACTAGGGAAAAGGCTGAAGTTAGAGCCAGAGTCGACATTATGACTAGAGTTAGGATTACGGCTAGTGTTAAGAACAGCAGATTTATGCTTTGGGCCTGGTTTTAGGATTAGAAATGAGGTTAAGATAAAGCTAAGGCTAACTTTAATATTAGGGCCTAGATTGGTGTTTGGGTTAATGATTGGACTAAGCTTTTCTTTTATGTCTTTCTAGAAATCTTTTTTCTGATATCTTTATCCTTTATTTTTTGGTCAGTCCTTAAGGCCCAGGCACGGTCCCTGAGATTTTTTCCTCAAGGCTAGCACTTTACCACATGAGCCATAGCTCCACTTCCAGCTGTTTTGCTGGTTAATTATAGAGATACAAGTCTCATGGACTTTCAGCCTAGGCTGCCTTCAAACTGTGATCCTCAGATCTCAGGCTCCTGAGTAGCTAGGATTACATGTGTGCACCACCAGAGGTGGGTTTATCCCATGCCATTCTTATCTTTCTCTTCCTTTCTAACCCTGGCAATCCATCTAGATAATCACCTCTGCCCTCTTCTAGTCAGCCTTCCTAGACTTCTGCAGGCGGTGATCATCACTTTATCTTTTATAGAATTTTAGTCCTTCGTGAACGTTTTGCTGACATGGTGTCTATAACATTTTATTGGAATGGTTTGTTTACTTTGTCTCCTAGGGAGGACATATTTATGTTTGTCTCCACTTTTGTGCCTGACCTCCCACATGTAGATTCTAGCATATTTGTTTTTTCTGTTTTGTTCTTGGTAAACTCTAGTATATTTGTTGTTCAGTTGATGGCTACTGAGCAAAAGGAGACATGGCAGTTAGATAGAATTTTCCAATATAATTTCAACACAAGATAACTTCAACACAGTTCTTCTGTAGTATTGTGTTGAGGTTATTTTGATCTTTAAAAACCTTCAAAAATAATTATACTAAAGACAGTTATAGACATATAAGATTTTGAAAATGTGTTAGGAATCTGGCAGGAATATGCTTCAGTGTTCTCTTTGGCTCTCATTGTAAATCTGTATCTTGGGCAAATGAAATCAATTTCTCTAAGAGTCACCTTTAAACAAGGGTGCAAATCTCCTAATGTTTTACTGTGTATGTAACATCTTTGTTATTGCATGGTAATAATATGCATTTCTGCTGTTTATTATCTTGGTAAGGAAGGTACTGTTCTTGGACATTCTCTTTTGCAAAAAGAACATTAGATTCTTTTACGTTAACTTCCCTTTCTTCTCCCTACACTATAAATAAATCTGTCCAACTTTTCCTTTAAAGTGATCCACACATGAAGACTATTGATATAATCCACTTATAATAAATCTCTATTCTTCTAGCTTATAATAGGTAGCTGCTGAAGTCTGAAGATTACGTGCATAAAGCAAACAAAGTACCACTCAACATTTCTTATAGCTCCAATTTCAATGCTGTATTCTTTTTATTAGTTTGCACAAAGTATAAGCTAGCTGTATAGCAAATGACAACACAATTGAAATCAGTAAAAAAAAAAAAAAAGGAGAGGGTGGGAATATGGCATAAGTGCTAGCAAATTTGTTTAACAAGTCCCAGGTTCAAAGTTTAATCCCCAGTACCACCAACAACAGTTAAAAGTTAGGGGAAAATATTTATAGTACTATGACAAAATATTATCTTTCTAGTGTGCATTGAACTGATAGACAATGTGAAGAAAAGGATAACATAGTTAGGGGATACAACTAGTCAGCTCACAAAAAAGAGGGAGAACAAATTTGCTCATCCACAAGGGAAAAGACACTGATTTTCCAAGTCATAAAGATTTAAATGGCTCATTTCTATGCGGTAGCATTTTACCTATTAGATTGAAAACATAAAATAATGATATTTCTTAGGGTTTTGAGGATGTGCATTCCAGTCTTGACCAATTCATGTGTAAATTTGTGCAGTTTTTGGTAGTGAACTTAAGCACATTATTTATCCATTGAAACAAAATAAAATATACTTGGAATTTGCTCCAGAAACCTAGTTTTGGGAACTTTCTGTTGAAATGAAAACATCAGTATGTAAGGATATACTTGCAAGGATGTTTATATTTCAGCAATGCTTACAAGAACACTGGATCAAACTAAATTGAGCCTTCACAAGATCAGTTGGATATATTATTGTTTTTCTAATTCATGGACAGTCTAAGGACAAGTTAGAACTGAATATGATAAACTGGAAAGTTATTTTTACTTATTTTTACTTATTTTTAAGTAAAAAAGCAATTATAGAGCAATGGGTATATCATGGCTCAATTCTGAGAATAATAACAATACAAAAAAGAAAACCAAGTCATAATATTTATCTTAATGTAGTTTGTTATTAGATTTTGGTTATATCAGAACAGAAGCAATATCAAGCCCAATAAAGAAAAAAAATCAAGGAAAGAAAAAGTTAGGTTAAAAGGAAAGGCATTGTTTTCTTGGATATCTTTCATTTGCATAAGTTTTCTTACTGTCATTCATTGTACACTTGATCATATGCATGTTTCTGATTTATGTGATTATTCAACTCGAATTCCACAATGGCTTATTCTTGTGTTCATGTGAATTTTCTCAGATATAATTAAAATTCTTGGGGTAAGTGGACAGGCCTACTGTTTTCACATTTGGAACTGAGCCAGAACAGAAGATTTTGTTTGGATATTGAAAGCATAGCAGAGTCCTATAGGCTAGGATTAAAAATCTTTTTGAGTCTCCATTTCCTATCCAGTATTGAGTTAGGTTGGTAAACTTGTTATTACCGACTCCTTTCACTTTTAGTTTTTCTTTTAAATCAAGTTCAAATTTAAAAATTTTAAATTACTATATATATATATATATATATTTATTGTGAAAATACCATACAGAGGAGTTATCATTACATGGGCAAGGTAATGAGTACATTTCTTAACAAGCATTGTTGCCTCCTCCTTTAAAAACAAATATATTTTAAAAAAAAACCAGAAACATAGTTAAATACCAAGCAAAACTAACGCTGCTACTTCATAAATAAACAAACCTATACAAATCTTACTCATTTAATACTAGTCTACCAGTCTTTGGGTAGCTAATCTCCCAATCTTTTGGTAGCTAATTTTTTTAGAACATTAATTGATCTTTATTTGATTTGACTAAAATCTGCATTATTAAAATACAGATAACAAAATCTGAGCTTCTATGAATCTCACAGTAAGTACTACAGTATTATTATGTAAGAAATAATAACTGACAGACATTATCACATGCATATGTTCCTGCCAAGGGGGGGATTTGGGACCGTGATCTGCAGGTGAGGTGCAGTGTGTGCAGGGCAATGAGCAAAACCCTAAAGAAAATGCAAGTCATTTGCCTGGATAAAAAATAATGTTTTGTTTTTGGTGCCAGTCCTGGGGTTTGAACTCGGGGCCTGGAAACTGTCCCTAAGCTTTTTTTTTTTGCTCAAAGATAGCATTCTACACTTGAGCCACAGTTCTACTCTGGCTTTTTGGTGCTTCACTGGAGATATGAATATCATGGACCTTTACGATCAGGCTGGTTTTGAACCATGATCCTAAGATCTCAGCCTCCCAAGTAGCTAGGATTATAGGAGTGAGCCATTGGTACCTGGCAATTATTTCTTTTTTGGGGGAGAAAAAGGTGGTAAAGAGGG